ATTCATGGAACGAAAGTAGAAGTTGACTAAAAGAGTATCATGTTTGGATTACAACTAGAAATGTGGGAGATGTGCGCTACAAGTACAAGTGTAAGCGACACAGAGCCTAAGCCACAGCATAAACGAGTGTGGCGCCATCTAGGCACAGAAAACCCCCAATAACCTCCTTGCGCCCATGCCATACAGCCGCTCATATGTCCAATAGGTAGTCTGAAGCGCTACCATATTACCTATTCCAACCTCTTAAATACACACAAGATCGTGTCGGGAACCTAGACGAAATGGAGGGCCCATACGTCCACAATACTCCGTGTCTCTATTTCCAACAGTATAGAAGATGGTAGTTTACATTTCGACTAATGGCGAGCTATCTAGGGAGTCGGACATGTATTAATACATTCCTTTTCATACTATCCTCGGCCTTCATCCCAGGATTAATCACGGCTTACTGACTTAGATCCTTCTAGTAACTTCTCGTCTCGTCCCTGGAAAGATCTTTCTTCATTACTAGAAGATTCCCACTCTTTCTAGGTGAAGCTCGATCAACTCTACTCTAGTCTCGAATGTTCCACCAGAAAAATATGCCAGGTAAGCATATCTAAGAATCTACAAAAATGTTCCTGATCATACCTCACAGGAGTCAAGAACTGTCTACACTAGCCAGCGTAGACTACAGGCATTACCCGGTTTACTAACCGTCACATCAGACACCTGCCAGTAATCATCTTACCAATATCATACCATCTCTGAACAGAATTCGTGACACTTGCTAAGTGACTATGTTCCCATTTAACTCGTAACCTTAAAAGATGGGGAACGGAAAACCATAGTGGAGACAGATACATCCAGCTGGGCAACGGGGGGTGCTTGCTACAACACCAACCAGGTGTCACGGAACTAAGTCCTAGGAATGGCTTAGCGAACTTGGGACTTGGAGACTTCCATGTACATAGTTAGATTTACTCTCCTTATTGCACAACACAGTTATTGATCCCGAACCATCCAGATCCTGATATTCCCTTTATACATTCCGTGACACCAGGTGGGCAATTCAAACCGGTGGCCTACCATTCAAAGAAGCTGGTACGGGTAGAGTGCAACTATGACATCCATGATAAGGAGCTTCTAGCAATTATTAGATGCCTGAATGAGTGGAGAAGTGAACGTCTAGGACTAAAAGAGCTGTTTGTCATCTTGACAGATCATAAGAACCTAGAATACTTCATGGCAACGCGGAAGTTGTCGGAATGGCAGGTAAGATGGTCCCAGCTATTATCTCAGTTCAATTTTAGGCTGGACTTCAGGGCAGGTAAGCTAAATGGCCGGCTGGGCGCCCTATCACGAAGGGCATAGGATGTGCCCAAATCAGAGGATGACCCGAGAATGAAGGAAAGAGGATTCACGTTACTAAGGGAAGACCTACTGGACGAAGGATCAATGCAAGTACAGCACATATAAGTTGCAGATAGTATGGATAAAAACCAAATCCCGCATGGTGACCAATTGTTCGAAGAGGACAAAATTCAGACGTTATGGGATGCCAGAATGGCAGCAGACAAGGCAATGAGAGAGGAGCTATATACAGCTATATGGAATAACGAACTACAGTTCGCATCCCACCTACAGTTAAAGGTTACGCGAGCGGAATGTGAGCTGGACATGCGGGGAGCGTTGTGCTTTAGAAAAAGGCTGTGGGTACCAAACTGGGAACTGTTGCGTACAGTCCTTATCCAGAAAACGCATGACTCGCCTGCAACAGGACATACAGGACGAAATAACACGATCTCAAGGATGAGGGTTTGACAATGTTTCACGGGGTGCGCTGTATAGCCTAGTGAAGATCTAGGTGGTAAATGAAGATAGTAAATGGGTCAAAGGGGTGTCAGGTCTTCTCTGGGAAGAGATGAATGGGCAACTAGTTGCAGTAGATGTTACACGTGGGTCTTGCTGATGAAGAGCTGGGCAATGGATAAATGGTCTTCCCGAAGAAGAGGTGGGTAAACAAATGTATTGTAAAGGGTAAGTAAAGAAGACGTTGTGTGAGGAGTAAATCTCTCTCAGGCTGAACTATTATATACAAGAGTAGAAGCATTTGCCAGCCGGAATTCATCGTAATCAATTCTTGCCAATATCTTTGCATTAATGGCTGTGTTCTTGTCCTTCTCTTCATGACTCTCTTGTACATACATGACTTTTTACACGACTAATTGTATAGGGGAAGCTATTATTAAATTGATGGTTTTTAGTAGCTACCCCTTCATCTTATCACGAATTAATATTAGTATTAAAATTCTAATTACGGATCCGTGAAAGTAGGCGACACCCGACAATCTTTATGGACACATACCGAAACCACAGGCACCGGGGGTGTCAAAGTTGATTTCGAAACACTACACTTCAGGCAGCACTTTTACGTGTTTAAATAGATTTGAGCTTCTTCGCAGTCCATTCCGCCGGGTCCACCAGTCCCCTTTCTGCAGTAGAATTGGTGCTATAACCTGGATCATTTAAATACGCACAGCAAGGGCCTCATGCTATCTTGGCTCGTGCTGATTACACAATATTGTTGCAACTGCATGGTATTTTGAAGGAATTGCTTGGCTGACAGTAATATAAATTCCATCCATATTATGATTGGTATGTGATTTGTGATTGTACACTTGAGCTGGATCAACTGAGATAGTTTGTGGAGAGGGATCTTAATTAATATGCAGAAGTGAAGTTACTTGGTTGATTTTATGTTACAGATTGGGAGCAGCTCGTCCTTTATCCTTTGGCTAGTACGCATGTAGACCGATCACGTAACCAGTATACAGCGCACCAACGTGTGCTCCTAACTGAGTAGCCATGCCATTTGTCATTTACCAACAATTCATCTCTCATACTGCACACAGTATTACTACTTGTAGTGCCAATATGTAGAGACTGGATCCCCTGCATGCGCCATATTGCCATACTGCTATAATAACTATCCATGCACCAGCTAATACATCTACCATTCTACATAGCTGAGCATAACAATCCATTGCAAAATACAGCCCTCCACTTTTGGGTAACATGAGCCGAAGGATCTGTAGGTCTCCGCTCTTTTTAATCTTGCATTCTTATCACCACAATCAGCGCAAGCTACCATTAGACAGGCTGAATTTTCACCAGAAATAAAAGCTCTAGTGTACTCTGGCTATGTTGAGGGTAATAAACTTTTATTAAATTGCAAATGTATCGGCTTGGCTTAAATTTCACTGTTGTAAAAGTCAATGATGCTATTTGTTTGGAAGCACTACCTTTCTTTGGGGCAGGTAAACATTCTCACCATTGCACGGTGAGGAATTCCATGATAAATCAAGTCACAGGATGTGGAAAATTAAGCATTTAGTTAATGATGAGTGTCTCTAAAAAGGCCATAGTTTTTTACGAGGGCAAGAGCATTGTTGGAAAGGCACAGTATCTTGTTTATTGAACCAGAATTTCAGTCAAATGGGTGACTGCTGTGATTTTGGATCCAGAAAGCCCTGGAACCACATTATGAGGCCGTAGCTTTTAATAGCCTATGCAAATCTCTATCCTACCATTCCTGTTAGCTAACTTCAAAAATTGGAGGGCAAGACTGAACACCTGTACGCGGTGTCCTCTACGAACCTGGGAGTGAAATCTTCTTCCAGAGCCAAGTTCAGTCAAACTTCGCAATACCGAACAAGTTGGCCCACGAGGCAATGATTCAAAATACTCCACCATATCAATCTTTCACTCCCAACGAAATCGATTCCTACCTAAGCCTCATCAAGTTTACAAGTACGACCTAGTACATTTTCATTCCAATGACCACACCTCTTTTCGACTTTCTCTGGCCTTAGCTGGTCGCCAGATACACGCCCACGCCGATATTTACACCCGACGGAGGAAGCAAAGCGTGGCGCACAAATCTGGAAGACAATTCCTTGGAATGGATGTGATAGGGATCAGGACAAGTTGATAATATGATGCAGAGGATTGGATACAGTCTCGACAGGCGTGGAATTTTGAGTTTTGGAAAGGAGTTTTTACAAATTGAGCTTTGTGCGTGCCAAGTCTTCCGTTGCGAGAGTGCGGGCGACACTATAAAAACCGCCATGGTTGGATGGTGCGGTGGTACATCGTCTTGGCCAGTCTGCCAAGTAGAGTCTGGATAGCTTGGACACATATCCCATTCGAGATAGTAGATTGCTGGTTCAAATCCAGCAAAACACAACCACATTTCTCGTGGCGCTGGTATGCATGGATGACGAAGGCATGCTTGGATAACCAAAGGTTTTGAAATTCCCTTTGGTGGATACTAACGGAGGAGGGTCGACTGTTTGTGTAAGCGAACATACCTCATAGTGGTATTTGCGAATGAAATCCAGAGTATGAGTGTCTCTAACGTCAAAAGAGTCATCCAACATGTATACATAGTACCGGTCATGTGTCATAGCTAGATAGCTGAATACACATTAAATGATTCAAAAAATTAAAAAAATTAAAAAAAAAAAATAAAAAAAATAACTTCAAAAATTCTGATTGTAGTATTAATGTAAAAGTATCTCAATTACAAATCCCAACATGGTTATTACAGAATGGATCTCGACGCCTTTAATAGGCCCTTGTCGGCCCATTTTAACTCGCAATTAAAAGTGTATTAAAATTGCCAGCTAATTGTAGTCGAAGATTAATTTATGTGAGTTTATTTCGGGTTAAAGCGCCTATGGAGAAGGAATATTTAACTCCAGAGGACCACTACAATTATGACCAGAGTATCACCTTTCCCTGCTCTTCAGATTGTTCTAATATCTCACAATCACAATCAGAGTTATTTGTCTAGGCTGACATTGAAATCACCAAATTTTCGATGTACCTAAACCGTGAGAGAAACTTATGACCCGACTAAGACCAAGTCAGCATTTTTCAAAAATCTAATTTCAAAATGAAATTAATTCACATTATTTCATCCGTTGTACTTTTTGCTCTTCCGGCATTGGCGACCAATGATTGGAAATGCGGAACACATACAATCTTTGCATACAAAATATATAGAGCGATGTATGATGCCTACAGCTCCTATCTCACTTCACAAAACCTCCGACCTACAGAAATTCCAGAAAATAAAATTTTCACAGCTAATATTAAACTTCCCGAATTGGATCTTACAGGTTTGTAAATTCTACCCTGATTAGTCTTACACAGCTGCTAATATATATATCCATGTTAAGCAACTAAATTTGAGTTTAAATTTAATAAAGAGGAAGAAATCACATCTTTCGCATATTTTCATTACGGTCATTCTTACCCTTGCACTCAACTGCAAACTTCAACAATTCAGTAGTTTAATTGCCCTAGACGGGCTTCTTTTGCAAGTGATCATAAAAATCGGGGACAGTCTCTGTTGGGATGAAAAAGGTTACACTCAAAAGCCTAATTTTTCATGCCAGGGTGACTTGTATATCTAGAGCTATTCGGAGTCGGTGGTTGTTGCATAGTGTTGACCAATTCTTTTGATTTGTATATTCTGACACTCTGATAATGCTTTGTCCCAATTTAAGATAGATGGCAATTCCACGACATCAAAGCTGCTTAGGCGCAGCGCAGCAAAATTTTCCTCTATATTTTTGGTTTTCATCCATGTAAGTTTGTGGCTATGTAAAGCCATCTTCGGAGGGCAAGACTGAACACCTGTACGCGGTGTCCTCTACAAACTTGGGAATGAAATATTCTCCCAGAGCCAAGTTCAATCAAATTTCGTAAATCTGAATAAGTTGGCCCACGAGGCAATGATTCAAAACACTCCACCATTTTAATATTTCACTCCCAACGAGATTTTCCCCATCTATATCTCATCAAGTCTACAAGTACGACCTAGTACATCTTCATTCCGATGACCACACCTTTCGTCGACTTTCTCTGGCCTCAGCTGGTCGCCAATATTTATACTCAATGGATGAAGCAAAGCGTGGCACACAGATCTAGATGACGGTTTTTTGGGATAGATATGAGAGGGATCAGGACAAGTATACATTGTAGAGGATGGATATAATCTTGAAGGGCGTGACATTTCGGAGGATGACAAGGATTTTTGACAGATTGAGCTTTGTGCGTGCAAAGGTATCTTTTTTTTTTTGCATCTTATTTTAATTGTGTATGCAGCTATCTAGATGTGACACAACATCAAAAACACAATTTTTGACATTTGTTGAGAAATAAGTCTAATGCATTGCAATTCCAGGATCCTCATGACCCTTGTTATGGGTCTGAGTTGTCATCATTTGCCAGGAGTTAGGAGAACCGGAGAGCAAGATACCCTGTACAATTAGCTTGTTAATCACGTGGTTATTGGGTTGTTTTGTTAGCGTGCACGGACCCGCAGTCAAGATGTAAATCTCGAGTGTTGGATCCTCTTTCATGGATAATAATTGATAGACTTCCAACAAGTTGATTTCATAGACAAGTCTACCTTCCGTGTTTTATATTAGAACTCCTTAAAGTGATCATTACACAATATAAGGACTAAGGTTTTAATAGAATTCGAATTTTCAAATATTCACCTTTTCCCCCTCTCCCTCACTCTCGCGCTCGTTGCATTCTATCAAATCATTGTGATCGAGTCACCGGTATTTTCACCATGCCTCCAGTTTGCAATAAGCGTCCCAACACCAAGTTGGACAATACGAGAGTCCACCTGAGGGCTCTCGAAAAGTTATCTGGCCTCGTCCAGTCTCCGTAATGCGCGGAGATGAGCAAGGCCTTTACTAAAGGAAAGGAAAAAGCCCTCCATGCCCTCACTGAACCCGATACTGACATGATCGGGCCAGTCGAAATTGTTGAGGAAATTCCTCAACGAGCCTCCGTCCCCCACGGGATTGGAGATTCGTCAAAACCTCCTCTGACCAGCTCAAAACCGTCGGAAAACGCTGCACCCATAGCAGCGTCAACATCAACGTCGCAGCCAAAAGCTGCCACAAAGGCAGAGTGTCCCCTCTAGCTCCGACCAATAGTCTAAGCTGAACAACGACCACCGCCGAAATAGCGGCAAATCTGGCCCTCTGTTCCGCCGCCATCTCTGGTGTTGAAGCCACCCTCCTCCCTTTGACTAACAGGTCAAGCAGACTATTTGTAGAGTCCATGAGAATCTACCTACGCGCCACCATAGCGCAATACATGGCCTCAGGCTCGGCCACAACGCCACCCGTTCTCACTAGTTGCTCGGCAAACCTGATATCAAGCACTCCTGGCGCCAGGAGTGCACCAATTCACGCCGTCTCAGTTCTGCCTGTAAAAAGCACCTGGGCCACGGTGGCCAGAAACGGACTGTCACAAAAAGCAGTTCCTACGGTTAGGGCTGTGCCACGACCTGTGGCAAAAGCCCAAAATAAAGAAGCTCCGAGGGCGAAAGTCGACAAACAACTGTTCCTTCGCCTTGAAAAGGACCACCCGTGGCGAAAACTGTCCACAAGTTGCGTGAGAAGTAAATAGGAGATGAGATTCCTTTTCTTTCACAATAAAATAACCTCGCTTCATCGAGTGAGGACCAGCTTTGCTATGCTAGCAAAGGACGAAAAAACACGACAAGAGATGCTAGATGGCTCTTCAAAGCTGGCGAGTGAAAACGCTAAACTCGAGGTATCTTCATATCTTGTAGCCTTACAGATACCCAACGTACCTGTAAGTATAATCACAGAGCAAAGCCCCTTGGCGGTCGATTTTGAGTGGGTCTTCAACAAGATCGCTCTTATGACTGGCGCGAGACCAATATACGTCCGACCTCATGGGACGTGTCGACCTGGTGCACCGCACCGAAACTGGCATGCCCTTTTCGACCGGGACTCCGCTCCTCGTGCGGGCTTCCGCCTCTTCGACGAGTCTGGTAGGGCTACCATATACAAGCCTCGTCGCCAAACTGAACAGCGTAAACGCTGTTTGGGCTTCCACGCCACTCGTGGTTGCTCCCGCGCCCCAGCCTACTGGAACTGTGGATCAACTATACACTCGGAAGCAGAGTACAAGGCCCTCACTAAGTGTAGTAACTGTGGGGGACCCCACCAATCGGATTCTCGGGCCTGCCAAGTCAGACCCAAAAAATCCGGACTGGTAACCAAAGAGCAGCTCGCGTGGATCCGCCACCTCGAGCAAGGGAAGTTCGCGGAGGCGGCTCGAGCTAGGGCCGCAGCCAAGAAGGCCGAACAGGCGATTGTCGCCGCGGCGAAGGATACCGCAATGGCCGAGGCAACAGGTTTCGGAGTGCTGGGACCTGAAGAAGAAGTTTGAGGACACAGCAACCTCGACGATGTCCCCTTCTGGGGCATCTACTAAAAATTAGCAGGATACCGGCTGGATCAAAGATGCCTGCTAACTCATTAACTGCTCTCAGCGGAGATTAAGTAAATTTGTCATTTGGAAGGTGTGACAGACGACGGAATGTGTGAGGAGCACATTGACTGGGTCCATTATGGAGGAATCTTCTGGTTTTTTGTAGTGATTTTTGATTTTTGTGATATTTTGTTTTTGTTCAATCAGCTGCACTTTTGGTAGCAATTCTCGGGGCTGGAACGAGTTAGGCTGTAGGAAAGATTACAGGGAACCCTGAAGGATCGGCGGATCCGGTTCTGACACGGTCTATAGAGCTTTTGTTACCCAAGATGTACTGTAGTCTACTACGTATTTGATGCCGTATGCTGTGAAGCGAATGCTGCTGCCACGGGTGATTGCTCTCTAGGCGAAGGAACAGTTGTTTGTCGACTTTCGCCCTCGGAGCTTCTTTATTTTGGGCTTTTGCCACAGGTCGTGGCACAGCCCTAACCGTAGGAACTGCTTTTTGTGACAGTCCGTTTCTGGCCACCGTGGCCCAGGTGCTTTTTACAGGCAGAACTGAGACGGCGTGAATTGGTGCACTCCTGGCGCCAGGAGTGCTTGATATCAGGTTTGCCGAGCAACTAGTGAGAACGGGTGGCGTTGTGGCCGAGCCTGAGGCCATGTATTGCGCTATGGTGGCGCGTAGGTAGATTCTCATGGACTCTACAAATAGTCTGCTTGACCTGTTAGTCAAAGGGAGGAGGGTGGCTTCAACACCAGAGATGGCGGCGGAACAGAGGGCCAGATTTGCCGCTATTTCGGCGGTGGTCGTTGTTCAGCTTAGACTATTGGTCGGAGCTAGAGGGGACACTCTGCCTTTGTGGCAGCTTTTGGCTGCGACGTTGATGTTGACGCTGCTATGGGTGCAGCGTTTTCCGACGGTTTTGAGCTGGTCAGAGGAGGTTTTGACGAATCTCCAATCCCGTGGGGGACGGAGGCTCGTTGAGGAATTTCCTCAACAATTTCGACTGGCCCGATCATGTCAGTATCGGGTTCAGTGAGGGCATGGAGGGCTTTTTCCTTTCCTTTAGTAAAGGCCTTGCTCATCTCCGCGCATTACGGAGACTGGACGAGGCCAGATAACTTTTCGAGAGCCCTCAGGTGGACTCTCGTATTGTCCAACTTGGTGTTGGGACGCTTATTGCAAACTGGAGGCATGGTGAAAATGCCAGAGCTCGATCACCATTCAAAGACGGATGCAACGAGGTCGAGAAGGGAGGAAAAAGGGAAAAAATGAATTTTCGAATTTCTCGAATTGTTTGTTTTGTTTGTTTGTTTACTAACATACTAGGTGAAGTAACTACTGTTGCACTCCTACTGGAGCTTGAGCACGAGTGGGGTCGGGCCGGATCAGGTTAACTACCGTGCAGTACAAGTGTCTTGTCCCACCTAAATGACCGGAACCATGCCAAAACGCATCTATGTGTTGAATCATAACAAGTTCAGTGGCCCAGATTGAAAACAAACAACAACTTTCATGCGAAATCCCGCATTACAAAAGAAAAATGTAACCAATCTCCCTCCCATGTTCCGCCTGAGCCTCGATTTGTATCCCTCTTTCCATGCCAAACTACCTAGGCATTTGTTCTATCACCTCCGAGTCATAGGTATCCCTGCCATCCCCCGGCTAGCCTCCGCGTATATTCCGCTCTCCTGGACGTAGTCCCTGAACAGTTGCCACTCGCTTGATCCGAGCATTGTTTCTATAGCTGGCGCCCTTCGCTTTCCGCTTTTCAGCCGCCATGTTGCCAGTGCCTTTCGACACTGGACAAGGTGACCAATTGATTTTCCCTCCCACACTCGTTGTTAAGTGTAGCGTCGGTGTGGTTGAAGCGGCAATGATATGCCGCAAAGTCCCCTTGTCCAGTTCGAGCGGCAATTAAGCGGGCGTAGACCGCTCTTGGTGAGGTTTCTTGTGCACGTTAGTAAGAATAAAATGATAAATGTTGACTGTGGAATTCACGGATGTCTCGTGGCTCCGACTACAACAATCTATATGTGTGTAGAGCTTGAGACTAGGTGTAAACTTGTGTTTCTATTAACGTTCTAACTCCTCCTTAAATACATGAATTCCTCTATACTCCAGATAATGAAACAATCAATG